GTGCTATATTACCACTGAGGCAATGATACAGAATAGACCAAACACCATTGCCGCTTTAAGTTTCCCAATATATTGAGTCAGTTGCTTATAATGGCAGCTTCTGTATTTACTCATTCCCGACCGTAAGGCGAATCCGAGTCAATAAGTCTGACATAATCTTCCTCGAACATCAAACCAAGGTGGTATATATTACCGAGTTCTCGGCGCCTTCTGAGAAAGCATCATCTTGAAAGAAGGAAAAAACGGACCAAACATCGCGATCTCCGGTAGGAGCTGCAAACTCTGTACAGACTACTCGATCAACATGGTTGTCCCAGTAATCAGTGTACTCGGAGAAATACAGCCTACGCTGCTCTTGGAATTATTGACCATACCGGCCTGGCAAAAATCATCCGAGTTGCTGGTAGGCCAAATAAACACAGAAGGCGGCCATTCTAGGCTCTCTCCGTCTGCTTGATTATCAAATCTACAATTATTAACCCTTAGGGGTGTGAGAAATGGTTGTAATGAATTTGAAGGTGTGACTCCCATGTGGTCGGAGCAATGGCAAGGCGTCGGAAATTCCTGAAAGAATAACAGTAATAATTAATAATAACATTTATTCAAAATTACATATTATAATAATAAAATAATAAACACCACAGAAATTAGATAACCCCCAAATCCGAACCCCCAAAGTCGAAGCTGCACGGATTCGGACACACAACCATTTCCATAGCAATTGCCAGTGCCGTTGGCGGGATTCGAACCCACAGCTACGATAGAAAGATTGCGCGCTTTAGTCAACTTTTCCATCGAGCCGTATGAAAATACATATTTATGCATTTGATAATAAGTAAATAGCTAAACGATTTAGAATTATGTATAAATCCATAGTTTGCTTTTCTACCAACGTCACATATTAAAAAAATATATTTATTAAATAAACATCTGCGTGAAAAGGTTTGTTTTCTGAAGAAACGGTTTCGCCTATCCAAAAAAATATCATCTAAAAAAATATTAGACTGAAAACAATATTGCTAATATATTTTAGACTATAAAAGTGACGTTTGGGAATACCATCTGATTCCGTTCCGTAATTTGCCTTTCTATAAAATATTTTCTACGAAATATATGCTCATTATTTTCCCTCGTTCTAAGTGTTCTTTAGAGAACATAATAACGAAAGGCTTATTACCCTATAACCAACCCATTTCAATATGCACTTGTTACTGTAACGCGTGTAAAAATTCCCCAGGGTACTTATCAAGTGTGTTAAGGTCCAAACAAATGAGATAAATTACAAAACATTCGTTGATGACAATAAACTTACATTTTATATAGCACTTTGAAGACTCTAAATGACAGTGGCGTGCAATTTTTACACCTCTTTTGAGGACTCTGATAATAAGGATTTCCATTTAAGATAATCGATGCAACTTGCACTGTAGATATCAAGTTCTGACAAGTGACATGTTAATGAAAAGGGTTTGACAGGTTTCGTTAACTGCCTGTGTTTTTACAGGAGTTAAAAATTTTTCTGTTTTTCATTATTTATATTAGGGTCTAACTACAAAAACTACCAAACGACGCTTATATATAAGTATAAGAAAATTTTACGAAAAAGTAAATTGAAAATATATAAGTATATATTTGTTTATATTCAGATCATTAGATAATTTCCTTCCATCAAGTCGCTTCCGTTAATAAAATTTTTTATTTGAATTTAATATGCTTTGTATAAGCTTCAGAGCCATTATATGTAATAATAATAATACTAATAATATTTATTTATTTGCCCAACAGAAAATCCACTTACAGGACAAAATGTATGAAATACAATAAGAAAAAAAAAATTATATTATAAGGATACATAGTAGACTTAACTTAAACAAAGTAATACATATAACTATAATAATATAGCACTGGAGGGTGACAATAATATAATAATGACAACAGTTTAGATCGAGTTATAAAACATAATTAGTATTCAATAAAGTAGGTAACATAACAATAATGGTGGGATAGTTAAGCTATGGATGAAAGTGTCTATGAATGGTTTCTTTTAAGGATAGAACTGAACAGAGTAATATCACACAGATCAGATACAGAGTTAAAATTATGTGACATAACGTAAATAGGCGACTTTTTAAAAAGTGATATTTTGTCTGGAATTGAAAGTTGGCACTCTAAAATTAAGGAGTTCAAGAAGCGGTGAGCAATCAATTTTAGTATAAAGCAGATTGTGGAGAAAAATTACACTGTTCATAATCCGTCGAGTCTTTAATGATGACATCTCGAATCTGGATAAAAGTAATTCGTGGTTGAAGCCTCGACCAGGATATACACGATAATTTTCATAAGCTAAGAATTTTAAAAATTTTCTTTGGATAGATCCGAGATATGTTGAATGGTTCTCATAAATTGGGTACCAAATTAGAGATCCATACTCCAATTTGGAACGTACAAGTGAATAATAAAGAACATTCAACGCAGCGTCTTTAGTGAAAGATTTACAATTTCTGATAACAAAACCTAAAGTTTTTGAGGATGATAGTCCTAGATTGTTTATGTGTTCCGCAAAAGATAATTTATTATCAAACAGTATGCCTAAATCTTTTGTTGAATTTTGCCTATCTAACACTTGGTCGTTTAGAGAATATTCATATAAAATTTGCTTGTTCTTTCGCGAGTAGCTTACGACTTTACACTTAGATACATTTAGATTAAGTTTGGAAGTAGTACACCATTCTATAAGCAAGTTAACCTGAGATTGTAAGAATAAACAATCCTGTATTGTGTTAATCTTAGCATATATTTTTAAATCGTCTGCAAACAGGAGCTTATCACAGTCAATCACTTTAGTGACATCATCAATAAAGAGAAGAAATAAAAGCCGTCCAAGATTGGAGCCTTGCGGAATTCCAGACGTAGCCGTATACATATCTGACTTAAACCCATTGTATGCTACATACTGTAATCTATTATCCAAGTAGGAAATAAAGAAATTAATCAAACTGCATATGCATTGCTTACGATATAATGGACATTGACACATATGAAATATAATTTCCATACGATCGTCAAACATACAACGTTTTGTATCGCTTTTTTTATATTATTTTACTTTTGTAGATGATAGGAATTTATTAATAACACCTGTCATGATGTTGGGATCTGTACATTCATTTAATTTTCTGTCAAAATTAATTTTCTTACAATAATAGATTATTTTTATATGATTAAAGGACAATTCAGACATTTAACTTTTTTTAAAGCAGCTTTGAAAATTTAAACGTGTTAATTTAAAGGAGAACGTATTTTTGAAGTTTGCGGGTTCATATTTTCTAAGTAATATATACGTCAGTTTCAAGAAAAACGTTGCATAAAATTAATGTGTAAAAACATTTTAACTGTCAAATTAGTCCGTCTCGAAGGATCATGTATGCATCTTAAAATTCAAGGACTACATAATGTTTCAGACACCTTTTTTTAGATAGTGGTGATAAATTGAGAGATTTTTTTTCTTTGTAACAATGGTAGTTATAATAATATATTTGGGAGAAGTTCGTCTATACCAAGCTCTTCCATTTATTTTACGTTGGTTACTAAAGTATTGAAGATTATGAATAATAGCAATTATTAGTTTATAATAATAACATTTTAATTAAATTATCTCATTTGTGCTTTCTACAATGTACATATTTATAATAGGTAAATTGATCTAATGTGGAAAGATGTCAGTTTTTTTCACAGAAATTATTTTAACACTGAGCTTTAAAAAATAAAAAAGTTTGCAGAGGTTGTTAAAATTATTTTATTGTATTTTTTATCTATATCTACGTCATCTACGCCAATGATTCTTAAACCGCACCCTTGTATAATAAACAGAAAACGTTGACTGAAATTTTACATATATCGAATGAAAAGGGGATGAAAACAACATCATTATACAATGGATATAACAAGTTATTTCTCCTGTATTTGATTTATAGTCCTCAGTAGCGCTGCCTATGCTAATAGCAACATTTGTATACGTCTGAATTCAGAGTAACTTATAGCCTTTTGAAGTTAATTTGTTAGTTTGATTTACGAACGGCCTTAAAATTTATATTATGACTTCGTTCGTTGCCTGTAAAAAATTCGACCCTCCTGCAAAAATATTTTTATTGCCCAGTGGTTCAAATTTTATATATTATTTTATGTAAATTCTTTTAAAACTAGGTGATTTCTTAGTGAAACGAATTAAAATAAATTAAGGACTGTTATACAATCCATTTGATTCAAAATCGGTTTCATTTAATCATATTAATGGCGAAATTAATAAAAATTTTATTTAAAAATTAAGTAATTAACAATTTCAAGCGATTTATTTAACACTAGTCCGGTTTTGTTCTAACTGCAGTTACCTATTTACTTCATATAGAAAGAGATTTGTGGACCATGGATAGTTTGGCAGAATCAGATGACACTTTAGTTCTGCAAATGATACTTCCAAGATTCTTAAATAATTCGGCTGAAAAATATTTCCTTGAAACAAAAAATCTTTAAGTTTACTTATAGGTAGAGTGGCCCAACGACGGCCGATAGTAGAGTCACATTCCCGATACTAATGAATTTATGATGTCGCAGATTGTAACTGGGAAAAGCCCTCAGAAAAGGAAGATCAGAGCTTTAAACCCCCTTACTTAAAATGCTTTGGTACTTGAAGCCATAATTACTTTTTGATATAAAAGGACTTCAAATTACCAATTACTTCCAAAAAGTAATTGAATGTAAAGCTCTACGCACTTTTGAAAAGGGCTACAGGCATCCAATAGAGCTTAATGTACTTATGGTTTGATTGACACCAAAAGCGCTTGAAGCGCACAAAAAAAAAATTAAACAGCACAAGTAATAGGTACAATAATCGAAGGTACTTCAAGATATCTTGTGTGAGAGAGGGCTACACATTTAGAGATAGTGGACACACCCCATGTCTGAGTATGCTAGGATTCATTTCCGGTTTTAGAAAAAATCCTAGATCCTAGATCGGGGATTGAACCCGGCGCTCCAGGGTGAGAGGCAAGTGTCCTTACCACTTGACCATGAAGTCACACAAAATGGCTTCAAAGCAGGTAAATTAAAGCAGCAAAGTGGGTCAATTCCAAAATAAAAATACAAACAGAAATCAAATTTTTTAATGAACTAGAACAGTTTGATCATAGTCTGTTTAATCGCACGGTGTAATTATTATTTCTCATTTGGGAATGAAATAAAAGTGCATTTTATTTTCAAACTTTAATTTGAAAAAGGAAACACAAAATAACAAAACACAAACCTTGTCCCAAACTATTATTGAAAAAAACATAAACGAGTTATATCTAACGAAACATCTGAATAAAAACAATTCTATGATTTAGGACTTAGCCTTTAGAAGAACTAAATATTCAAAATGGTCGTCTTCGTAGTGCGTTTGTTATAGATGCAAAAAGAAAACAATCTTTCAACCGGTAATACGGTGTAGTATTTAAAAAAGGGTTTTTTAATTGTAGGATACACCTCTAAACAGTTTAAATCGACTCCAGGGTCATGTATGTAATGTAAAACTTGTAATTCTATGGCACCATATTTTTGAACTTTGTGTTAGACGTTTTAGTTTGAAGTTGAGCCTATGTGTATGTTCTCATCGTTCTAATCAAAGTATTCAACATCTGTTTCTCTATCTGGAGTTTTCGCATTAATTACCATTTTCTGTAGAGTATCGATATCTATTATGCAAGGTCGGCCAACCACTATAAAGTTGAAAAAACAACTACATGAATAATATTCCCAATAACTTTCTGTCACAGTTCATTGCTCATTCGCCGGCGAGCTCGTCACGTTATTTGGGTAATTTTATTTTTTAGGATTCAAATATTTCTTGATTGTAATTGAAATTTCAAAAGTGCTTCAAGTTCTTTGAAAAGATTTGAATTTTTTTTATAGGGCTTCCTTTGATAGAGCTTGAAGCCTGCTTTGAATTCACAACTACGAAGCACTTTATAAAGCAATTTGGTTACAAAGCCGTAATTAAATGCTTACAAAATGGCTTGAAACACAGTGCTGCAAAGCTTTGAAAGGAGTTGAAGCACTTTTCCATGAACAAAGCACTTAAGCTCTGCCACAGGTGATAAAGAAATAAATATCTATATATTACAGGCGTGAAACTGCTGACCTTTTACATGTAACGAACCGAGGACAATGGCTGTGCGAACATTTGTCTCAATAATACAGTTCCATGTATTCTGCTAAAAGAGGTCTCCTTCGTGGGGAAATACACTTGTATATCGCGAAAATGATCTTTCAATATCTACCAATGTAATATTTGCAAACTTGAAATTTTCCAAATCACTTGCAGGATGTTATTCATTGAGACACCGATTAATAAAACATTACTTTTCATAAACCTCCCGTTTCGCGGTTGTTATTTAAACCGTCAAATTGACACTTTTATTATTGTGTAACATGTTATCGACATATAACCAGTAATAAATTTGGTAAATTACTATTTTCTGTGTTGGTACTAGTTGGTACTATTGCAATTCAGAATCTGTCAAGTTTGTAGCTAATATTTGTGAAAATGCGTTACAACAAAACTAAGCAAAGAGCACGAAAACTTTGTCAGACATAATTTAAATTTAATGGAACCAGATTGCCCAGCTTCTGAATCTGTTTCACTAGATAATAAATTTATCTTCTGATGAATCAGAATATTTAGATTCTGATGAGATGTCACTTATCTAACAATCTCAGATTAGTTGAATATGGGATCTTGCAATTGATCAAGAATTTGATACTGATAACTCTTAAATATGACTACATATTTTGTAATTTGTTACTGCAGTAACAACATTATTTACTTTTAAAAGATTTTATACTTATATTATATTTATTTTTTATTTAATTTATTCTCTCGATCTCATTAATTTGTTTTATAGTTTGTAGTATAACACTAACTACTGTGATCTTTGTTTTTTTTTTTTAATAAACTATTATTGGCCTTAAAATGTGTTGCAGTTTTTTAAAATAAGTGAAATTATAAAATTCCTTGCTAACTATTTTGTACATCATGCATAATGTATTAGAGATTAGGATTAGGCTAAATAAAAAACTTTGCTTTTTAATAGAAAAAAATTAACATGTACTATAAATTGACAAATTGTGATAAAGAAACCAAACAATAAATGTAAAATACCTACAAACACATTAATTACTGTAAATAATCAGTAATTTACCAACAATTAATTACGGTTATTTACTGCAGTGGTAAATTACCCACCGAATTATTTCTTGGAGAATTAATTTGGTAATTAATGATTGGTAATTTACCATGGTAAATTACTGAAAAAATAATAAATGTAATTTAACATCACCGCATATAACCCGAAAATATTGAAATACTTATAGTACTGCTATTGACTATTTAATAAAATGAAAAGTATTATATTACAATATTAAAGTATTATTCTATTTAACTATAATTAATTAATTATTTTACATAATTATATAAAAATGTTTATAAATTCAAAATCTTGAAAAAACTTCAATGGTTTAAAAATTAGAATGACACGTGTCGTCATATTATCTACATTTTTCTCCTTTCTCCTATAGTCAAAGATTATTTGGTGCTGTTTTTACAATGTAAGCTTGGAAACATAACAATTTTGCACGTCATATGCTTGGACGAACCTCTAAAGCTTACAGACTGATTGATTCTCTTCTTGTTGCTGTGAATAACTCTTACAGTATGTTTTGTTCTGGTGGTAAATGTAAAATCTATGAAGAATGGAGAAATAGAAATGGTATAGGGTGAACAAAAATTCAATACCACCTTATGTTTATACTTCACAACAGCATTGTGTTCAGACAAAAGATGTCAAAATAATTAGAGAAATTTTCTTAAGGAATATTTGGTATCTCAGTTTGAACGCTTAAATAATAATCAGAATAATGCTCAATAATAATTATAAACATAAATGCATTCGATATAAATATTATAAAGAATTCTGTGAAAGAGAACGATACTTATGTTTTTTTTTCTTAGACCACATTAAATATGAAAAGAAAATCCGATGAAATTCCTATTTAGAAATGTATATAAACATGATTTACCAAAATGATAAAAAAAAAATGTATTATTTAACGGACATGTAATGATGGCTATTATTTACGAGGGTGAAGTTTACGATACGAGCCGTAGGCAGTGGATGGAATTAAACCCTGTCTCTAAGTGTTCTTACCTTTAGTCCACGACTTTATAGGGTCCGTATTTAAGTTGCTAAATAGCTACATATGTGAACAAAAAAATAGGTAGTAAAAGTAAAATCGACAATATGTGTAGTCCAATATGGTGTTCCCCAGGATACTACATTAGGTCCAGTATTTTTAATTATGTATTTAAATAATAGTATATTATTCAAAAATTTAATAGCTTTGTAATAAACTTTACTGATAATGCAGCTGTAATGTATGTCGCTGAATCATGGAAAGATCTAGAAAAAATGTACTTACAAGAAATTATACAAAAACAAACTGCATATTATTTGGCTGCTACAAAACGAGTCTTCCTATATTTTTTCCAGATATCACAATTGAGCAAGCAAGAGCTGACAAATATCTTTGTGCTACTATAAATCGTAACCTAAAATGGGATATTACAAGTGTGTGGTAATTGAAAATCCTAGAATTTTCAGGGATTTACTTTGGTGATTTGAGAGGCGGTTAAGAAAACATTTTTAAATATACAGTTTAGATTCAGGTACTTATAATGAATGATAGATTTCTCTACATTAAAAAGTTATCCCCCCTTATTGCTTAAAGATTTGTGATATTTTGAGATAAATTTAGATGCAATTTTCCAGATGATATAGCGACGTTTTAAGAGAAAAATAATGAATCAATTTTGAAAAATGACGATCGGCTGCTATATTGGTTCTTCCGGAGATATCATAGAAGGCAGTATCTTCAGTCAAAATAAAAGTATTTTCACACTGAATATTGCTTTAGAATTTCGTGACATTTCATTGTCGTGTAACGAAATTGCGGCAATTTAAAAATATTGTAATGAAGTTGTCACGAAAACATATCGTGATGCCCAATTAATATTAAATAGCATAAAATCGCAGTTCTATTATCTATTATTGAGTCTGTCAAAGAGTAAAGTTGAAAACTGAATAAGAAATAAGAAATTTTAATAACTAAACACCTACAAAGTAGTTTTACAAACTCTAGTAATTAAACACTAACTAAATACTAAACCTACTGCTGTTTGACACAGTTGTTTGAAGTGACCTACATCTTGAACGCGACAAATTTGAATTCTTCTTTCAAATTTTTCATGAGCTTTTACTCAGATTCTTCCTCTGATATTAACTCTATAATATTTTGCTGTAACTCCTCAATATATTGGGGCCTATTGTGGTATACTTTGGATTTAACGTATCCCCATAACAAATAATCCAAGGAGATTAAATCAGTCGACCAGGCAGGTCACTAAATGAATTCCCTCGGCCTATCCAATGGTCAACAAAATTAGCATTTCAGTAGTCCCGTACACAATGAATCGTTGCCCTGCTGAAAAAGGATGCTTCCTTGAAATTGACTAAGATGTGCTTAGGTAATTTCATTTATGTTCGGTACTATTTCTGTCTGAAGAATGTTTAAATACAACGGTAGTGATAAATTGTCTTGTATACTTGTCGGCTCTACGATATTGGTCAGAATTAATCAGTGGCGGTCGGTCCATGGAAGCAAGGGAAGCAGTGCTTCCCCTGGGATTATTAAAAAAACACATAAATAGAACCTAATTATTATTTATCACATATATTAATCATTAAAATTTACTTTTTACCCAATTTCAATAGATACGGCCCTGCATTTCAGCAGCTGAGATAATGTTGCACGCTAAAACCGTAACGATGTCGCACTCGATTAATCGAGCCAACACGAACTCGCGCGACTTCGATATATGTAAGCAGAGACAACTGTCTCTGATGTCCTAAGCAGGTAACTTATTGAAATGCGTCCCATCCCCACTTCATAATCTTGATATCTGAGCTGTATAGCATCGTAATA